TCGGGTATTCCTTCTTTCTTCGCCCTTGATCAGAAGGGGTCACGGCCTTGATGCCAAAATACCAGGTCTGGTATTTTGAGTCACGGCCGGGTATTTTGTCATTCTCAGCCAAAATGCAAATTTTCTCATTTTTTTGAACTTCCCTGCACCGACAACACCAAACCGAGGCAGATCAGACGACCTAACTTCATCACAGACGTGCAACTGACTCGAAAACACACAACAAATCAAAGGAAAAAGGGAAAAAGAAATGCAAACCATGGTGGGGTTGCTTCCCCACAAGCGTTTATTTACCGTCTTTTAGCTAGACGTGTCTTTATATGAGTCTAGCCGGTCAACTCCAATCATTAGTGACGTTTATTGTGGACGACGATCCCTTCATCCTCTTTCTCGGCGTATTTTGGTTTGGATCGGTCTAGAAATCTACATCGGGTACCGTTGTCAATGAATAATAAAGGGTACCGTTGTCAATGGCGGAGCCACATTAGCTTGTTTTAACAAGGAATGGTCATAGTACCATACAACTTCCAGATGCGATTAGCCGATTAAGGCATGAAAAAGTTACGATGAATTTGAGAATTAAAGTTGTTGGTAACGGCGTAACGCTTTAACTGTTTATCTTATAAAAAATGGTGTGGTTAACTATAATTGCACCAACTTTCACCCTTATACCAGAGATCAATATGCATGATTTTGGCCGGCGTACATTAATCTTATCGTATGCCTAATGAGATTTCATTAACTAGATGATGAGGGGACATGTTACGGTGATTACTATTTTATAGTAATTACCGTGGTTACTAAGAGCAAACTGGGTCTAACAAAAAATTTATTAATTACCTTTTTAAATTAAATACATTTTCAAAAATTACATAAATATATTAACTACAATTTTCTCTCTCTCTTTCTCTCACTTCCACAATCTTCAAACCTGATCTTCCTTCCTTCTTTTTCTCAATCTTTCCTTGATTTCGTTCAGCCAAACTAATACCGCTGCAACAACAAAACAATAAATCAATACCAATCCATTAAAAAATACTACCATTGCACAACACACCAATACCATTCGAGAAATAAAAACACTACCATTTGACAAAACAACAATACCATTGCAGATTTAATCAATACTAATACAACAAAAACTATACCAATGCAACAAAATCAATACCAATGTGACAAAAACAATATCAATACAACAAAAACAATACCAATGCGACAAAACAAAAAACAATATGGTTTCTTAAAACAAACAATCAACCACTACCAAAACAAAACATATATAGGTTTTTATGTTCTCCTCAGTCGTCTCTTAGAGAGAGAGAAGTTGGTGGAGGGGGGTGGAGGGGGAGAGAGAGAGGGCAGCGGAGGGGAGAGTAATGGCAGGCCGTCGTTGTCGCCGATATGAGAGAGAAGGAGGCGGGCGGCCGTAGTCGCCGGGAAGAAATATATATTATTAGGGTTGAAAAGAGAGAGAGGGTGAGATTATAGGGAATATGAATGAGATGCAGTGAAATTTTGATTTTCAAAATTACCCTAAAGGAATCTTGATCGTAAGATTAAAATAGAAGGAAATATAGAAAATTTAATGGTGTACAAAGAGATTGCTACGGTGGCTATCAAAAAATTAGTAGCCACCCTAAATCATCCCAGATGATGAGTAATCTGCACTTGGGATATGAAGATATACTCTAATCTCTAATAAAGAAATCTCATGCCGTGATTATCTAAATCCAAACTATAAGAACAAATTGATAAAAAACAATAATTGAAGATTTTGATGATATTTAAAGGACTCAAACATGGAGCATTTCTACTATACTATATAGTATTGATGCTTTAATGTACAACTTAAAGTTGTACCGTGACATGAAATGTATAAGTTTAGATTGTACCATAAAAGAATTTGTGTCATTATGTTATGGTACAACTTTACAACTTGAAGTTGTACAATCACATAAATGTACAAGTTCAAACTGTACCATAAAAGAATTTGTACAAACAGTATATGTATAATCTAAAGTTGTACCATAACGTTAAATGTACAATTTCAAATTGTACCATAAAAATAAAAACCTATAACACCAATACTATATAGCATCGTAAAATTTCTCTCCTCAAACATGTGACTAGCTAGTAATAATAACACTAGACCTATTCCTCTCCGACAACTTTACAACTTGAAATAATAGTTGGTTTAACAAACTGTTCCTTAACAACTTCCACTAGTCGTTACATGAATCGATATTTAGCAAGTTGTTATAACTGCCTAAATTCGTATGCCACTAACCATTATTTATTGTTTTCTTCATTGATTGTCTCCCTTATGCCACACCAGCCGATCAAAATAATCTTAATTAATTAATATTCCTTAAACCTTCATGTTCCGGCTGCCTTCCCACCCAGTACATTACAACCTCTTGAAAGATTCAAAAAAAAATCCCCAAAGCGTTTCTTAGTTTAGTGTGGTTCTAGCCGGTTAGAAGGAATCATTATTTTGCTTAATTAGTGAGGACGACAATAACTACATCCCTTTCTTGGCGTGTTATTGTTCAGATTTTGGTATAGAAATATATCACTGACTGAGACACGTTATTGTGATGAGGAAGGGTTATATCATTTCTAAATTTCCAGATGTGATTAGATACATATGAAAGATCTGCCATGATTTAAGAATTAGAGTAAATTTGGCATGATTTTAAGAATTAGAGTTGTTCGTGCCGCTTTAACTCCCTCTTTCTAGTTATTACTGTTCAAAATTTGAAGCTTTAATTTTATAGCTCCCTCATCGTTTGGGTGAGTCCGAATACTAGGGCTGGTAACCGGTTCGGTAACGGTTAACCGGTTACCGAATAAACCGGTTACGGTATACCGAATGCCCTGAAGCCACGCCCGAATGCCGCAACCGTTTTGCAACCGGTAAAATACCACATAAAAAAATATATAATGAAAATATCTTTTTCAAGGTAACCTCGTTAGTAGTACGAGACCTTTAATTGAGAAGGTGTCCAAGAGGCAAGTGCATGCAAGAAAGTACAAGTATGTTATGGTAAGGATACTAATCTGACTGAAGTACGAGTATTTTTGTTTAATAAAAGTGATACTTATTTGGTCCTAAAATTAATATATGTATTATTTATAAAAGTTTAAGTAATTAATTAATATATGTACTGGGTGAGTATGACATTAGAGATTTTTAGTGGGATGCGACAGGATTCACCGTAAACCCTTGTGCACCCGTTCTCCCTCCCATCATTTTGTTGCTTCTGACTTCACCGCCCTTACCGTCCGATGATCCGCCGCCAATTAGCTAGGCGACTGAGGATTCCATCTCTGCTCCTAATGATTTTATCGTATCCATTGAGTTTTACTATTTAAACCATGAATTAATCAAAGTTGGGAGCATGACACTATATACTAATCTCTAATGGGTGAACTCCAGTCCATATTTCTCTAACTTGAATCACAAAATTCATTTAATCTAAAAAAATAATATCCAACATTTATGATTCATTGAAATATATCAAGGTACATATAAAGAACGTAAACGCAAGCGTATACGTATGCTAGCCTTTGCCATATATATATATATATATATATATATATATATATATATATATATATATATATATATATATATACGCGTGTGCATACGCTTGACATCGTCTAATGAGGTTTCACTATCTAGATCATGTATTAACCAAATTTTGTACAAGATACTATACCTAACCTCTAATAGGTAAACCTCATACTTTAATCCTCTAAATATCAGTTAGATAAAAAAAATATTAATCGGTATTATATTGTACACCGGATGTTGGCTAAACTTTGCCATCTAGGTTCATATACACTCCTTTTGCGTGCCATGCTCACTTCCATTTCCATTTCTTGTGGTTATTGACAACAACAACAAAAAATCGTTAAGAAAATGAAGCTATCATCTCTTGATAAATAAAACCTAAAAATGAAAACTTGTTTAATTAGAACTTTTTTAGCGAATTATAAAACTGAAGCATGACTGATGGAAGATTGTTTGAAAATAAAGTAAATTTTTTTTGCATGATCTACATAATAAAAATGCTAAATTAAAAGTATTAAATATGAAAAGGAGAAAAACTTAAAATATATTTTTATTTTATTATAGAAGAAATTAGATAGATGTTTCCACTTTTTTTTTTGGTGATAGATGTTTACATTTTAGTGAGCTTCTGATGTTATATCATATTTTGTTTGGTATAATGAACTCTATAAGTTTTGAGAATTTTATTCTGAAACGAAACATATTATCTTGATTCATTTAGTTGGGAACCGTCTATAGTTTGTATCTCAGTAAATATTGTTTGCTTTATGACAAGCATTGTAAAACCGTATTGGAGGTCATACCGAAAAAAGTCAACGATAATAAATTTTATATTGAAATCGTAATTCAACCGCTTCGTACCACTAAATCCGCCAACCAATTTAAATCCGATAAAAAATTCTGATTGAAGGTAAAGTTTTTCAATCCTTGCTTTATTGATTGTCTACCTTATGCCACACTACCCGTAAAAAAAAACCTTAATTAATATTACTTTAGCCCCGCCGGTTCCGGATGCTTACAAGTTACAAGATATATATATATTATATATATATAGTCTATACATATTGGTATCACAAACTAACTGCCTGCATTAATCCTCAATCAAAAAGCCACCGCGGAAATTGATGGCGCTGAATTATGCTGTGATGACCAATTGCAGCCTGAAAAACCGACGGCCTAATCCCCTCCCCGGCCATCACAGCTTAAGCTTCGGCCATCATCTGACCACCTTTCTTTCTTCTACTTTCAAGGTACGTACGTGTATATATATATATATATATATATACATATGTTTCTGTTAACCGGCCGGTTCATCGTAATTCCATATCTGCCTAAATATCAGAAACCGTATTTTTTAATTTTTAAGGATCACTTGCAGATCCTGAACGTCGACGTCCTTCCCCTGCAAATCGATGTTCCACTAATGAAGTCCATGATCCGTAATATTGCTCCTCGAAAGCTACTGGACGATTTTGTTGATTCTGCCTTCCAGTTTGTTGATCAACCCTTGCTCCCGTCTCAGGTGATCATCATGCTCCGATGACCGATCGATGTTTATGACTTATGAGTAAGAGCATTGATGATTGAGATTATATATATATATATGTTTTCCTGATCGAGTTGCAGTGTAACTTTGCGCCGGTGGACGAACTGAAGGAAGGCGTTCGAGTCACGGACATGGTGGAGGGTATTATTCCCGATGACTTCTCCCAAGGAGTCTACATCCGAAATGGTAACTAATTAATTTTAAGTAATCATATCGTTCAAATAACCTCACACTTAAAACTTCCTTCAACTCGATTCAATCTTCACTTCATATATCTCTAGTAGGGATGTCAATCAAACCCATGGCCGTGGGTACCCGACCGCCCCGGACCCAGTCAACGCGGGAAATCCCCGCTTTGACTGGATATGGGGCGGGTATGGATAAATACCGCAAAAGTTTGATGGGTATGGGGTGGGTATGGTTTTAGCCTTCCCCGCCTCATACCCATACCCACCCCACCAAGAGAATTTCTTCACATATACAAAAATATGTGGATCAGATTATAATCTATCAATGGTGACGAGGATATATAACTCAAGGAAATAAATAGTATAAATCCAATTGAGTGACCATCTTAATGTAAACCTAATTCATTTCCCTCAATTCTCCTTTCACTCTTTCACTTTCCCCCTTGTCAATAAGATTATGTTAGTTAATTATTACTTAGCAGATGTATCAGAGTGAGAACATAATAAGTTGAAAAATATTATACTCTATATTATGTATTAAAGAATGTTTTAGGATCATATTCTTTGAATCGTATTAAGAAAATGACTGTGTTTTTGTTGACTTCGTGATATAATAGGTTCGTTTAGAGTTATAGTTAAAAATTTTCTTGTAAGTTTTAGGTATAATAATGTTGGATGTACGGGTACGGGCATTACCCATGGGTACCCGAAACCTACGGGTATGGGGATGGGTTTGCAAAACATTCTCCCGCATGGGTATGGGGCGAGTATGAGTTTGGGTATTTGAAGATGGGGATGGGAATGGTTTAGCCAAACCCGCCCCCAAACCCGCCCCATTGACATCCCTAATCTCTAGTAGTCTTCTACGTACATTCCTCCAATTGCTAGATGATGTAAATGTTTGTTTGTGGTATCACATCCATTATTTTAAAAAATTTACCAACAACTTGTGTTATTGGAACAAACTGGTTCTTGACAATAACTAAGACAATTTACTTAATCCCATTACTTTAATATCATTCTCGTATATGATGTAACCATGGGCATGCACCCCCAAAGGAAACAACTCATGTATCTAGGAATGTAATCGACAAGAACCAGTTAGTTCTAACAACTCAAATTATTGGCCGAAGTTACCTGATACCATATTTGATACATTGCTACCACGACACAATAGTGCGAAAATAAGATAAGGGGTCATTTGGAACCTTTGATTATGCAAATGATGTATTACGAGAATGTATGTATTAAAGATTATGTGTATACTAAGAATGTGTGGTTTTGAAAATTCATTGTTTGGAACGCATACAAGAATGCATGGATTATAGTTTAAATGAACTATGGATACTAAAATCTCACAAAAAATGTAAGATTATCAATATAATACATCATTTGCTATGTATTAGGAATACAACATGGATTATAAATACATGCATTCTCTTATTACATCAAGTCAAAAAAGTTGTATTCTCAGAATACATGTATACTGAAAATACAACATCTGAAATCGGAGGTTCCAAACGAGTCCTAAGTAATTTGCCAAAGATGTCAAATTACCTCCCTACCCCTCCACATCCAAGACCGTTAGATCAGAGGAAGGGTAAATTGAATAAGAAATGAATGGTTGGTAGCCAAGATAATTAGTTACCAATCTTTTGCCGAATCCCTTGTTTGCAGGACCGAATCCCCTGTTTGGAGGATTACAATCCACGGAATCCATGTTTGGAAGGACAAACCACATCTGGGTAGAAGGAGAAGGAATGCTCCATGCCCTGTACTTCCAAAAGGGCAGTAGTAGTGATGGAGAATGGAGTGTCTTCTACAACAATAGACACTTGGAGACTGAAACGTTCAAGATGGAGAAAGACAGGGCCAAACCGTCCTTTATTCCTGCGGTTGAAGGCCATGCCCTTGCAATCTTATCGGCCCACTTGTTCAATTGGGTGGGTTCCTAGTTCCTACTACAACTTTTAAAGTTATCATAGTAATAGTCACTTGTATTTTTGACTTGTTAGAAAAGGTTTTGCAAGGTGCTAGCATCGTTTGCTTCATGAATTTTAAAATGAGAATTTTGTCAATAGTGTTGAATTTAAAAATCTAAGAATTTATTAAGAATTTGGAGCATTATGGATTTGAAAGTGGAAAAAAAAAGGATTGTTTTGATCATGGATTATATTTAAAACTTAAGAAACTAATTTATCATATTATCTTTTTATATTATACTAGTTACTATAATAGAAAAAGACAAACTTGGAATAATAAAGATTAATAGGGATATAGGTATCATTTTAAATTTGTTTTTTCAACCATTATTCAAATTCCAAGTCATCATGGGGGATTTGTAAATTCGGATCCATAAGACTTTTGGATTTGGAGCAAAAAATGAACGCAAATTCGTAGAGCCCACATATTTGCCTCCAAATTTTTTGGCATGGCAAACAAAGAAGTGCTACCAAATCCTTAATAGTTAAGTTTTTGGATATAAATCCTTTAATACAAATTCAATAAGCAAACGACTCCTTAAATTAAGGGTACTAGCAGCCTATCCACTTTCGTTGCTCACAATAGAATTGGCGACGTTCTCCTGGTGTAAAAAAAAAAAAAACATTTGTCAACGTAGTTTAGGAAATTAATTAAAGAGGACAACCGGTGGGTTTTTCCCCCCGGCGGCCTTGGTTTGTTCTGTTTCTGGTAATGAATGGTAGCAGATTGGAAATTATGATAAAAATAATTCAACGATGATAGACAATAAATAAATCAAAATTTAGTCATGATACTGTATTCCAATTTCTATGGGATGAAACTCATTGCTTAATTTTTCTAAACAAAAAATATAAGATCAATTATATTTAATCAAAAAATAAAATAATAAATAATAGACGCGTAGGCTAGCCTTTCCGAGAGTGAGTCGTGCACGGGATAACAATGAATTGCACGTTATTTTTGCACATATATATATATACAGATGAGATTTGGGAAAGTGAACAAGGATCTTAGCAACACGGATGTGGTGGTTCATGGTGGGAAGTTCTACGCAGTAGCCGAGACTCATGCTGCTCAAGAATTCGACATCCTGACTCTTGATGCCATAGGTGAATGGGATATCAATGGAGCTTGGGATCGACCTTTCACCGCCCACCCAAAAGTACGGTTCTGCCAGCCCCAGCCTGCCTGTAGATTTATTTCTTCCTTCCCTGCTTGGTTTTGTTCATGCATGTATATGGTAATGATCTGCATGCAGAAAGCTCCGGTTACCGGCGAGCTAGTCATATTTGGGATGCAGGCCTTCAAACCGTTCATAGAACTGGGAGTTGTTTCTGGTACGTACGTACGAACGAAATTATCTTAATTAATGGGCATAGTGACATGGTTTGTACTGTACGTAACATATGTATATTCATCTTAATTAATTAACTGCTCAAAATAAATTAATTACAGCTGATGGAGAGAAATTACTGCACAAAGTGGACCTCAACCTCAGCAGGTGCTCCCTCGTTCACGATGTTGGGATTACTGAGAGGTACGTATGTACGTGCGTAACTAATTATACTGTGGATCGAGTCGAGGGATTGATTAAATTAACGTTGGAAAGGAAAGCGTTTCAATTCGAATATGATTTTACAGGTACAATGTGATCATGGATTTTCCACTCACCATAGACCTTAACAGACTCCTAACGGGAGGACCGTAAGTTAGTTAATTACCCGATCGATCGAGAAAGCATGCATTACAGTAACTTAATTAATTTGTTATAATTAAGTTGGTTAATTATCCGATCTCCAAACAAACAGGTTAATAAAGTACGACAAACAAGATTACGCTAGGATCGGGGTGATGCCCCGATACGGGAACACAGAGTCGATTCGTTGGTTCGACGTGGCACCCAATTGCACATTCCACATCCTGAATTGTTTCGAGGATGGAAACGACGAGGTAAAATATTTGATAAGACAGACAGACTACGTACGTACTCTCAAACCATCCATCACTTCATGTTCATGATGATCTAAGAGATTCGGTTATGTTTGTTTTGTGGCGCAGGTTGTGGTGAGGGCATGTAGGTCTCTGAACTCAATACTTCCAGGGCCAGAGATGTGGGAGGACAAGTTTGATTGGTTTTCTAGTAAGTTTAGGTTTGGGCACGGTGACGATGCTGCTTCTGAAGACGACGACGTATCAGTGTTTGCCCGCTGCTACGAGTGGAGGCTGAACCTGGAAACAGGGGAAGTGAAGGAGAGAAACCTAACCGGGAAAACGGAAGCCTCCATGGATTTCCCAATCATCCATCCTGCCTTCACCGGCCTTCCTAACCGATTTGGCTACACACAAACTGTCGATTCTGAAGCAAGCTCCGCGGCAGGTGAAGATTTTGAAGAAAAAAATTTAATTAATTATACTTTGCCTATGCATGTTTTATGATCTGGATCGGAGTTAGATAGATAGATAGATAATAACAGGCCGGCTAATCAAAGTTGGGGGTTCCAATCCATCCAGGCATGCCGAAATTTGGAGGTCTAGCCAAATTGTACTTTCAAGAGCCTGCAACCAACTGCAATAACCCGGTATTCGATCGATCGAGCTACATCATCATATATATGACAATGTCGTGAATGTTCTGAGACTGTTGAGTTTTGGTGGGTTTTTACAGAAGGACGCCGACAACCAACGCGAAGAGGCGATGATCAAGGTGGAGTACCACGAATTCGAGAAGAACACCTTCTGCAGTGGAGCTGCCTTCGTTCCTAAAATGGCTACTGCAGGGAGCTCAAGTAGCTGTGGTGAAGAAGAAGAAGAAGAAGAAGAAGATGATGGTTGGGTCATCACTTTTGTACACAATGAAGACACCCACACTTCCAAGGTACGCACGTACGATATTCTTTAATCAATTGTTGTAATATAATTAACAACATGCAGTTAACCAACTCTACAGTTAACCAACCGTACCGTTAATTTTCTCCCTAACTAGCTAGCTACCTAATAATAATTGATCGATCTGCGTACGTACGTGCAGGTGTACATAATTGACGCAAAGAAGTTCAGCAGCGAGCCAGTTGCCAAGATCACACTGCCTTGCAGAGTTCCATATGGTTTTCATGGAGCTTTCATGCCGATGTCCCTCCCAGTCCCACCTATGTGATCTATATATAATAGGGAAGAGATTCAACACTTGCAAATTGTACCGTATGTTTGTATTTGATTATTTGATTAGATCTTCACCAACTAATACCACCAGACAGTACTGGCGTACGTACGTAGCCAAGAATTCAATTAAGGTGGACTCAACGTGGAAAAATAAGTAGATAGGTTTCGGAATGTGTACGTTTTCGCATGCTGAAAAGTTTCTAAACTATACATTTCGCTTGCAAGTTACGATGTATGTCATTCTTAAATTATTCCACCGAAAATCATTTCTGATTTCATCACTTTTTCACATTTTTCATTGCACTAACTGTTCTTTCTACACTTGCAATGGCAACTGGTAGCAATTAAACGTTGAGTTTTCTTTTTAAATTAAACTGATACGTAATATATTAATTAGAAGGTAAGTGGAGATCACAAAACATTACATTAAAAAAAATTGTTTGCAATAATAAGAAAATTTCGTATTCAATTCATAACCACATTAAAAATTTATTACCACATTTTTTGGATCAAGGTGGTGCAAAAGACCTCCATTGGCCCTAAGTGGCTCCACCACCTCCACTAGAGGATCTTTGTAACACCTTAGGCGGATCCCACATTGACAAATCGAGAGATCCATGGTTCATAAGTAAAAAAAACTGGTCTTAACTGACAAGACGCTTTTTGGGGTGAAATGAAGAAGATCTTGTGAGAACTCCGAAGTTAAACGTGCTCGGCATGGAACACTGCAAGGATGGGTGATCTTATGGAAAGTCCCTTGATATGCACTCTAAGTCAAAATCCGTGAGGGTCGAGGCGCAAACCGGACAATATCTTGCTTGGGAAAAGGTCCGAGATGTTACAAGTGGTATCAGAGCCTCTTCGCGTCCCTCTTTAACGATGGTGGGGAAAACCTCAACAAAGACGTTGAGTCCCAATGGGGGGGGGGGGATCCCACATCGACAAAGCACGGGGAACGATCCATGGTTCATAAGTAAGAAACCGACCTTAACTGGCAAGATGTGTTTTGGAATGAAATGAAGGAGTTCTTGTGAGAACTCCGAAGTTAAACGTGCTCAGCGTGGAACACTGCAAGTCCTTTGATATATTTTAAGTAGATTAAGATATAACCCCCATAATTCCTTTTTTTAGTAATAACCCGCATAATTCTTAGCTGCTATACAAAATTAACCCTTATTACATAAATGCCAAATAACTCAGTCTCCAAGAAAATTTAAACATCGAAATAATATTCAAAATACCATAAAACATAAATAATATCCAAATGCAGTAATCTATGAAAATTTTGTTTCCATCAATTGATCACATGATTCTTTTTTTTTTTTTCATGCACCAAAAGTATAATCACATGCATTCTCATGAACCCATATGTTATTTTTCTCGATCGTTTTAGGATCGACATCCTTATATTTCTTAATTAGATCGTTCATAATAACTCGGACACACTCTTTCTTCACTTGCATGCAACAGCCGTAATCAAGACAGCAACCAATAAGAAATTGTGAGATGAGAGGTTCCTTGCAATAGTAATCCATAGCTCTGTAGCACTGTTCTGCAGAGGGGTTATTCATGGTGGCTTGTGCAGGAGTACTGGAGATTGAGATTATAGCCATAATCCACAACACAATTAACGTTGTCGTTGTCACTGCAACTCTTCTACAGGAGTACCTGATCATCATCATGTTAAAATTTGATTTTTGTACTAAAATTGTATGTGATATCGATCTTCCTTATCACACATTTCATTTTGTAATATGCCATATACATATATAACTTGTAAAAAGTAACCTTTTCAGTTTCGAAATTAAGAAACATTAATAAGAGTGTAACTTACCGAACCTTAAGCTTTATTGCAACAATATTAGAAACACACTTTGTTTTTAGGGTAAATATCATTAGGCCACCTAAACTTCGGAAAGATGTATTTGTGGTCTCCTAACACGACTTTTTATCTCCGGTAATGTTGATTAGTTAACGATCAACACATTAACCGATAACCAACAGAAGGATGATAATGATATACGAGATGGTTTGGAAGCAGACACATCTAGAAGCTACCGAGCGCTTTCTGAAAGAAACCCAATTTATACGCCCACAACAAATAGACCAAAATGTACGCGTGGGGTACAAAAATTGATGCCGACGGTGATAAACCTCTCGTCGGAAAACCCATAAGAAACAACCTCCAAATCAACTTAGTCTTCTAATGGTAAATGCAAAAACAGCCCACAATTGGATGCCCGTTATGAGCCCATTACGAGAAGTACTTGTGGCGGGCGTCAAGCGCGAGATGCCTGCTTCTCCTGATCAGTTCTTGGTTCAGTTGTTTCCTGTACTGCAATTCTGCAAATCACCAATCAACCCTCTGGCCGGGAACAAGTGAGAGAGGATTATAAAGCTGGGTTTGATCGAAAATGAAACAGCTAAACAACACTCTTCGTGTTAGTATAGATACAGAGTACAGAGGAGTGGGCTTTGGCCCTAAAGCCCACTTATTTCTTTCTCCGTTTCAAGCAGGCCTAACTAGTGATTCTCACTTCAATTAAAACTAAAAAGCCCAACTAAGTTTATATGCTGATGCTTTACGTTTTAACAACTCTCCTCATGTTTTCTTTTAATTCAACAAGTACCCTTCGAGATTAATCAATCCATTGTAAAAAAAAAAAGATTAATCAATCCAATCCTCAATGATTAATCGATCTTCAGTCTACTGTTTACCCCAGCTAGGGCTGTCAATCATCCGAGCCAAGTCGAACTTTGCCATCGTTCGGGCTAGGCTCGTTAATATATTTTCAGGTTTGAGCTCGGTTCGTGTCCGTCACGAGGTTTAATATGCAAGCTCGAGTTTGGCTCTTTATGAAAATGAAAGCTGGAGATCGACTCGAGCTCGGCTCGCCAAATAAGTTTAACGAGTCCAAAATCGAGTTCAACACATAAAATGTTCATTATAGCTCAAGATTGAGCTAGAACTGAGCACAAAATTGCATTCAAACCTGTAGCAAAGTCTAGCAAAACAAAACACAATATTTATCCCTATTTTAATACATAAAATCTATGAATTCCAATCCTTTCAGATGCCAAGCCGTTAAATGAGCTTGTTCGCGAGCTTTCGAGCTGAACATGGCAGGGCTCGAGTTCGGCTCGTTTAGTTAACGAGCTTGTTCGCGAGCCAACTAGATTAAGATGAATCGAGTCTCAAACGAGTTTTTCTCGAGTCGGAAGCGGAGCCGTTCATGAGCGGCTTGGTTCATTAACAGCCCTAACCCCAGCTATCCAGCTACAGTGTTTTCCAACACACTCTCTAACACTGATTCACCCTTGAACACATATTAGAGATTCTTTTCCTATTAATCACATCACACAAGCAATTCTCTAGCTCTCTCTGTATGATATGATCTCTGGAAAAGGTTGCTAGGCTTTGGTTTCTGGTGTGATCTTTATAATGCTGAGATGATAGCCATTGATGCTTGAATAAGGTGAGTCTCCGTTATTTGAATTCCTTTCTATCTTGCTCTCTTGTGAGGTTATTTGATTCAATGAATTTGCCAGCCTTGTACCCCGATACTTCTTTCTTTTTAGAAACTTGATTACCACGAAAGATTATGAGTCTCTTAAGAAAGATTAGTTAAACAGGAAAAGTAGTTGACACAACACGAAGATAAGTCTGCAAATTAAAATAGAAAGAGATGTAAACCTACGATGGGCCTTCTGTAGGAGCTCGATCGCGCCGCTTTGATGATTTATTAAACTACTTTATCTATTTATACGCCACTAAACAAAGTAGTAGCATACATGAGTTTGTTTGTTGTACTTGCAAATGGATTCCAGTGATTAACAATTTAACATCATGAAGTATTATGAAAAGACAGAGGAAATTTTCAAAATTTTCATCCTCAAATAAATTTTGCTGCAACATATCATTGTTACATTAGATAGTTTGTATGCAATTCAACAAATTGCCAATTTCAAAGAGGCTACTGATAGGTAAAATGAGTTGAACTCCTATTGTAAAGATAGACATTTGAAACCCCACCAGCGTGGAGTATATATAGCTCACTTCTTTCAAATTACTATCTTTCAACCATCAGTCCATCACTACTTGCAGCAATAGTTCGTTGGTCTTCACAGATCAATGATCTATCGTACTAATCGCAACAAAGCAATCTCCTATTTAAATGGTTAGCGATTAATTATAAACCTCGCTTATTCGAAGCAAGCATTTTCGGTTCAATAACAAACCACAACCGTTTTCCCATCCCTACGATTCAGTAGGTGAGCTACGTTGATGATAAGGAAAGACTATAATGCCCTCAAATTTAATAATCGTATAACGCAGTGTCGTTTTGTACCCAAGAGAGAAAAGGGCACGCTATAAAATCCCTATCCTCCATTCTACGGAAACGCACGAACCCCACCATTTTGTTGATCATCTAGGAATACTCTTACATTCATATACATATTTTTACCCCAAAAATTAAAGGTTTCAACATTGACACTTTTTTCAGACTGAATTCCTCTTTATTTTCCCTTAATATTCTGTAGTCGTTCTCAAATTACACCACTACAATAAACACACTAATCCAATCCATTTGTTATCTTTTTATAGACCAATTATAACGTGATTGAAAAAGAAAAGAAGGACAAACCATACTTTGGTTTATTGGATAAATTTTTTTGTTCATTTTTAATCTTACATAATTTGTCGAGTCCGGATCGTATCAAATCAAATCACACAGCACAAGTAGAGTCTAATATAAACTTTTAAAATATTTCATATATGCTCCTAATTTGTATTCCAACCCCTCAATCTTGTACCCACATGGATTGCTTCTTAATTCTTGTACTTGAGCTGATCAATCTTTCCATTCGTTGCTCCCTATGTGCTCTGTCTAGTCTCACTGTGAGCTTTTGCTTTACAGTTTGTAAGATGCACCATAAATGCTTTGATACCATACCCCATCCCATCCAGCATTTATAATTCAACCATAATATAGTTGTCTAGGGACTTAAATAGCTTAGGGTCTCTAATCATATATAATGAATCCATTTATGATATATCAAAAGAAGAAAAGTGATTACTT